AAGGGTACATGAAGGGTAAATATTAATGTGTTATGGAGCTCAGAAAGGGAAACTTCTAAAAGACAAAAAAGAAAAGCTCAATTTCTGTTCTTATTGCTAAAACAGAAAAAAAAAACTTAATGGAAGTGATATTACATTTCAGTAAGGGATCTTACATTATCTCCACAGAGATAATCTCACTTCACTATCACTTTCTAGCTCTCTTCCCACCTGCACTTCTACATTTAGAGTCCTTAATATGAAAATAGGCTGTGCCTTTCAAACATGACTATTCCAAAAGCGACTGTTTTCTGATTTGTCATCTGAACGCATGGTTTAGGTTTGGTAATGTTTTTGTTAATTGGTTAAAGTTAAGGGAAACAATGGCTTAGTATTTTTAATCTTGACCATAAAGTCTGTAAGCCAGTTGTCTCATTGCTGTCAAACCTTAGTCCTTTCTGGGCTGCCGTTGGAAATCCTACTCCACACCACACATATTAAGCTCTTTCACCTGTTTGATGAATTATATTATATAATATATTTGTATGGTTTTTGGCGTGACTTCCCCCATAAAATAATGAAGTCAAGATGGGGATACGTTTTTCAACTTTTGTTCAGTAAGTCTCTCCTGATTGAAATACAACCTAAATACATGAACATATTAACCACACCATATAATGCTATTGGTCCAGACCAACTTTATTTTCTTTTGGCTTGAAGTCCTCAATACCATCAGGCTCAAGACAAAGTAAAACACAGCTGAAGTTACTGGTTTGGTCAGGTGTGTTAAATTACTACATTTTCCACTATAGTCGTCTTGTCCTTACTGAATCTTACATGGTTGGACTCAGGAAGCAGTCTTAAGGATTACACAGGACTGTGTAAAACGTCAACCTATACAATAAGCCACATGGAGAAATACCTTGACATATAGAGCTGCCCATCCCAAAGCTTTTTATCTGTCTCTTCGCTCTGTTCTTTTATTCATCATTCGATGTCTTTTCCATGGAGAGAAGCACTATTGGTGGAGGTCTAAATGCCCTGGAGCGGACGGAGGGATTTCAGGTGTCAAGGGATAGAGAGAAAGCGTCAGAGAGGGATGTGAATAATAGATCAGAGAGGGGAAGAGAAAGTGGGAAAAAAGTAAGGGAGAGAATGAGGGAGACATAAAAGGTGGGAGATGGAGAGAAAGAGAAACAGATATAAAGAGGGTGTCAAAAGGACAGAGAGTCTGATAGGGAGGACGCCTGAGAGATGCATGGGAGTGAGAAAGAGGAAAGAAGTGGGATTGACAGTTTTCTTGGAGGGCAACCGTGATAGGAAAACACACATATATAAAAGCCATGCATCTGTCCATCTATCCAGCCATCCATCCATCTGTTCACCCATCCATCCATCTGTTCCTCCCTCCTTCCATCTCTTCCCTGCCTGCAGTGTGGTCAGGAGTAGTTGCATAAGACAGCGATTCATCTTTTATTGAAACGGAAAGCTTCCATAAATATGTCTACCTTGTTCTCTGGAGTTTAAAAGCTCAACCTGTAATCCAGCTAAAAATAAACAAAGGATACCCACAACAGCAACAAAGCACAATATACTGTAGAAGCACACCGGACACAACTTCTGTTCTTTCCCAAATTAGTTCATAAGAGCTAAAAGTGTTCTTGTTGACAATACATTTCAGATGTCCTTTAAACTGCTGGGCTCTACTGATAAAGGTTAAACTTACAATTATATAAAAATCAAAGGTTGACTGATATGTGATTTTGAAGGTCAATGAAATATTTTTATGCTGATGCACAGATCCTCGTCAATGCTGATATTCATATCATTTTAAATGCAACTTTTAAATTAAATATAAGGTTCTCAATATGATTCATACTAATAAATCTATGAAAGGTTCAAAAGTTTATATACTTATCAATGTAGTACATGACTGCCCAATATTCAACATGTAATATGTGTGTTATGTGTGTCACGTGTTGTATCTTTGTGGTTGTAAACATTTGTCTTATTTCTGTGTTTACATCTTTTTCTGTATTAATCTGAAATATGTCATCTACTAACACTTTCCTTTCTTTAAATTTATAGTACTTTCTGCACACAAAAAGTTATTAAGTTTAGTAGGACAGTAATTATATTGGTTTATTACTACAGAAGAGCATATCAGAGTTTAGATGCCACCCCTGATTATAACCCTGTATGCTCTCACCATTTATTTACGCTGACAATTTAAGAAAACAATAATTAGCCATTTGCTCTTTCATTTCAAAGATCAAGTCCCATCTGATATTAAACTTGAAATACAGTAAATAATAGTCTCATGTCCTGTGTTTTTGTTTTCCACATAATTCCCAGATGAATCTCTTTCTCATCACCTTACCCTACATTACAATGTAATAATCACATTTACTCCCCTCTTGGTGTCTACAGAACAAATAACACTCAATACCAGGAGACTAATTAAAGCACAACAACAAAATGAAAAAAGGAAAAAGGGAAAAAAAAAAGTCTTGTTCCTTAC